CTCTGTGACGCACGGCCGACAGGAGGTGTCTTAGGGTGCCATTCAAATGAATGAAAATGTAACGCACTTAGCGCACATTACCACACACTAGGCGAGCTGTGCGATAGCATGCACTAAACGCATGGCACCGTACGTCTAACACAAAGCTATGGTGTAAATGGCACCCTAAGACACCTCCCATCGACCATGCGTTATAGCACAGTGCCGCAATACCACATGCTGCAGTGCATGTTCTTTTTTCACAACGCATGCTATTGCAGTATCATGCATTGTGGTGCAACGCACAGCTGCTGAGAGGTGCCTTAGTTCCCCATTCACACCTAGGCGTTCCGTGACCGTGCACCAAACATGGGACAAGACGCGCGCTTTGATATGCATCCACGGGACGCGGCAAAAATGCACAACGTGCTCACAGCGCCATTGCTATAACAAACGTGGGCGGGCAAACGCATTGCAATGGCACGGGAAGGAAAAGTGGGACGCCCCACAAACACGCGGGAGCAGAATTTGCTATATGAGCTACTTTCCTGCGTTTGTCTTGTGCGCAGCAACCCATTGAAGTCAACGGACGACGCACGGCAAACGAACGTTGAACCCGCTGATGTCCACGGGCGACGCACAGCAAACGAACGCCCATGAAGTTTGATGTGCAATGAATGGCATCGCAACGCACCCGGCGCCCAGCACCTCCTGCGCGGTGAGCCGTGGTATAGCCGGGTCTATACCGCAGTGCTATGGTGTGAACTGAACACAACGCACATCACCTGGCGCACATCACCTGTACGGTGTGAACGGGGCACATAGAAAACAATTGCCTCCCTGCGTTGCTCCGGGGACATGTCAGTGTGTGTGCGCGCTTCCTGCTGAGCGTGTCTGCTGTGTGAGCGGAGGGGCGTGCGCGGGGCGTGCCCGAGGCGTGCGCGGGGCGTGCCCGAGGCGTGCGCGGGGAGTGCCCGGGGGCGTGCCCGAGGCGTGCGCGGGGCGTGCCGGCCACACTGACTGTCAGGCGAAAAGACTCGCCGAGTAGGAAGCAAACAAAACACAGAGAGAGGGAGAGAGACGGCAGAGCTGGTGAGGAGCCGATCCGTGCACAGCGCCGGACGCAGCACGCTGATAGGGGGAGACGCTGCCAGGGGAAGGGTGCCGGGTCCCGGTGTAGCTAGCAGTGGTCGGTCACATTCAGCTGGTTGGTCGGCTGCAGGACGCAGGACATTCGCTGGCAGGAGAACCTCCTTTCTGCCGTGCGTCACAGCTCAGCGCCATGCACAGAACCGCAGTACCGTGCGTTGCATAGCATTTCGGTAAGAAAAAGGTCAGGGATGCATTACTTTTTTTCACCACAACGCATGGTAGTGCAGTGTCGCTCATTGTGCTGAGCTGTGACACACAGCTGCCAGGAGGTGCCATGCAAACGACACATCATAGCATTGCGTTAACCGCGGTACCATGCGTTTACCACACACACCAAGCATGCGGTACCTTGTGCTAGGTGCATTGCATTCGATGGAATGGCACCTGTAACGCATGGTACTGCGCGTTGCTCTGTGACGCACGGCCGACAGGAGGTGTCTTAGGGTGCCATTCAAATGAATGAAAATGTAACGCACTTAGCGCACATTACCACACACTAGGCGAGCTGTGCGATAGCATGCACTAAACGCATGGCACCGTACGTCTAACACAAAGCTATGGTGTAAATGGCACCCTAAGACACCTCCCATCGACCATGCGTTATAGCACAGTGCCGCAATACCACATGCTGCAGTGCATGTTCTTTTTTCACAACGCATGCTATTGCAGTATCATGCATTGTGGTGCAACGCACAGCTGCTGAGAGGTGCCTTAGTTCCCCATTCACACCTAGGCGTTCCGTGACCGTGCACCAAACATGGGACAAGACGCGCGCTTTGATATGCATCCACGGGACGCGGCAAAAATGCACAACGTGCTCACAGCGCCATTGCTATAACAAACGTGGGCGGGCAAACGCATTGCAATGGCACGGGAAGGAAAAGTGGGACGCCCCACAAACACGCGGGAGCAGAATTTGCTATATGAGCTACTTTCCTGCGTTTGTCTTGTGCGCAGCAACCCATTGAAGTCAACGGACGACGCACGGCAAACGAACGTTGAACCCGCTGATGTCCACGGGCGACGCACAGCAAACGAACGCCCATGAAGTTTGATGTGCAATGAATGGCATCGCAACGCACCCGGCGCCCAGCACCTCCTGCGCGGTGAGCCGTGGTATAGCCGGGTCTATACCGCAGTGCTATGGTGTGAACTGAACACAACGCACATCACCTGGCGCACATCACCTGTACGGTGTGAACGGGGCACATAGAAAACAATTGCCTCCCTGCGTTGCTCCGGGGACATGTCAGTGTGTGTGCGCGCTTCCTGCTGAGCGTGTCTGCTGTGTGAGCGGAGGGGCGTGCGCGGGGCGTGCCCGAGGCGTGCGCGGGGCGTGCCCGAGGCGTGCGCGGGGAGTGCCCGGGGGCGTGCCCGAGGCGTGCGCGGGGCGTGCCGGCCACACTGACTGTCAGGCGAAAAGACTCGCCGAGTAGGAAGCAAACAAAACACAGAGAGAGGGAGAGAGACGGCAGAGCTGGTGAGGAGCCGATCCGTGCACAGCGCCGGACGCAGCACGCTGATAGGGGGAGACGCTGCCAGGGGAAGGGTGCCGGGTCCCGGTGTAGCTAGCAGTGGTCGGTCACATTCAGCTGGTTGGTCGGCTGCAGGACGCAGGACATTCGCTGGCAGGAGAACTGACAGACTGCCACCGACACACTGACAGACTGCCACTGACACACTGACACCGACACACTGACACACTGACACCGACACTGACTGACTGCCACCGACACACTGACACAGACACTGACACACTGACACTGACACACTGACACTGACAGACTGCCACCGACACACAGACACTGACACACTGACACACTGACACACTGACACACTGACACCGACACTGACACTGGCACCAACACTGACAGACTGCCACCGACACACTGACACACTGACACACTGACACACTGACACTGACACTGACACTGACACCGACACTGACACACTGACACTGCCACCAACACTAGCACACTGACACTGCCACCAACACTAACCTCTAGGGGGCGCTAGTGCTATATGAACAGATGATCCCTATAGACTTACCTAAAGCATGTACCTGGCGGTGTGAACAGCGCCATCGCTCACTGTGTGCAGCATCTTCATAGAGCGTTACCGTGCACTGAAATAAATGGAGTTTTGGGGGCGGGAGCAGTGACTAGGAATTCCCATAGTTCTTGTCTTGTGACATTTCCCAGCAGTCCCCTCCCCCTCCGGACCCCTCACTCCCCGACAAGGAAATACCAGAGGCGTCATTTCTGAGAACTCATCTGAAAAGTGTGACCATCACTTGGTTTTATAATGGCCACAGCAGGTGGGTGGGACTGGGAATTCTGGCGGAAACATCTGACCGCTGGAGTCCGCAGGGAGTTTAAGAAGCCAGCGTGTGATGTCATCACCCATGATGGAGACAACCTTTAATGCCCAGTGACCTCTCTGTGCCCAATCCCTGGCCCCCGGCTACAAATTATATTATAGATCCATCTATATAGAGGAATCAGGACCTCCTTCCTCCTGCTGGGGATCCCTCTAGCGATAATAAAGATCTATATAGGGGAATCAGGACCTCCTTCCTCCTGCTGGGGACCCCTCTAGTGATAATAAAGATCTATATAGAGGAATCAGGATCTCCTTCCTCCTGCAGGGGATCCCTCTAGTGATAATAAAGATCTATATAGAGGGATCAGGATCTCCTTCCTCCTGCAGGGGATCCCTCTAGTGATAATAAAGATCTATATAGAGGAATCAGGACCTCCTTCCTCCTGCTGGGGACCCCTCTAGTGATAATAAATATCTATATAGGGGCATATGGACCTCCTTCTTACATGTGCCCCATATTGTTCTCTGTCGGGGGATTCTCATGAGTGAATTATTTTGCTTTGAGAAACATTCAATTGAAGTTTCCACAACCGATTTTCCAGCAATGCCAAATCACATTCCATGTTACCGAGACTTCCAGGAACATCAGTCCTATTGGACAGACACCTTTGTGTGCGGTAGGTTGATGTTCCTGGAGGAGTCTGGAACGTGGAACACGCTTTGGCATGTGTGCATGCAGGTTAAAAGAGATTTCGGGTGGAGTTGACCTTTAATGTCCACTCGGGGCTGGACTTACCATCAGGACCAGCCGGCTTGTGTCTATAGGCTGCAGAAGCAAAGAGGCCGCTTCTCCCCATGTTATTATCGGGGAGACACTTTGTTCCCATCATCGGCTTGATCACTTATCTGATTAACATATTGTAACAATATTCTAAGGCAGGGTAAGACCAGAAAAACCAGAATAATGCTGCCAGCATGCTGCAGAATGGGACCCCGGCTCTCTCTCAAGGACTGGGAGGAACGGTCTGCAGGCGTCAGAGCGTTGCAATGCTTTACTGGCTCCAATGCACAAAAATATTAAATGCACATTTTTTTGCACAATGATGCGTGAGGTACAGGAGCCTGCTGATTGTTACCACTGCAAACACGGGAGTAGAAGTCCCTGGCTGGGTCAACTGTACTGGGTGGACATTGGTAATTGGGGATGAGCCCTGTCCGAACCTGAGCTACTCTGAACACGGAACAAAGCTCCAATCGGCTGCAGCGGGGGGAATTCCCTTGCACATAGGGGGCGGGGTGCAGTGACATCATTGACCTTATATGGCCACATGGCTATATTTGGTGAATGATATCAGCACAGGCATCCAGGCCCCGGCCGCAGCTGATTGGCCAGGTGGCCGAATAGCAATCCCTTGTCTCGGAGGAGCTCAGGCTCGGGCCGGGTTCATCCCCACAGGTAATATGATTTCTTTCTTTATAAAATGATCACAGTCTGATGTATCTATAAGACCTGCAGAGTGACTCTGGTCTGTTTCCCCATACAGGGTGATGTGCGGGATCATTAGGAATGCCTTACATGGACCGATACCAGCGGACCTGTGGGTTTCTGGACATCGAGGATGCACACTGCGGCCGATTCCTGCGCAGATACTTCATCCTGGACAAGCAGGCCAATTACCTGGTCTGGTACATGGACAACCCACAGGTGAGCCCTCCCAATCAATATACTGACCCCCCCAATATACTGACCCCCCCAATATACTAACCCCCCATAGGGATCACCTATCAGTTTCCAGTGCAATGCTCGTCACCTATAGGGGCTTATTCAGACTAAGCCGCGCCTGACGCATGGCCGCTGGTGCACGCTGACATATCAGACCTCCAGCGTGACCCCAATGCATCGGATGTGCATAGGCCCCCCTAATGGGAGGAATACCAGAGCTCCATTGTGCTTCCGGTCCGTTCTTCTCATCCCGACTTCATGACATCATGAAGGGTAAAAAAACGGGACCAGGCGCTTTCCCAGGACAAGTGCATGACTAACCCTACAGGGGGAGCCGGTGAGTCAGCTTGCCTGCCTGTAACAGGTAAGCAGTCCTGAGCTCAGCTCTTAGCAACCTTTTGACCCCCAGGCCGGCATCCCGCCCAGCTCCTGGCAACCAGTGATGTGAGTGAGCTGGGTGGGATACTGGAAAAGGTAACCAGCACCCCTGCTCCCCCCACGGTAACATGCACCACCAGAAACGCCATCACTCTCCCTCCCACCACTACCACTCATGCCCCCGACCCCAGGTAGTGATGAACCAAGGGACTCCCCTGGGGGAAGGTTTATAATCAGACTTCTTCTGTACAATAAATAATACATCTGTACATTTTTTGCTTTCCAGAATCTGCCCCCCAACACAGGACCAGTGGGCTCCCTGAAACTGACGTATATCTCAAAAGTAAGTCCATTCAATGAGTGTTATTATGTTTAATGTTTCTCCAGCTAAGAGTCCAACATGATATAAATAAGACCTAATAAAAGAATAACAAAACCCAACCCACACGGTTCAGAAAACAGCCAACACGTTACCAGCATTCCATGTTACTACACATAGGAAGAATGTCACTGAAACAATATGATTAAAGGTTCTGAACTCATACCATGGAATGCAAACCATTCCTTTCTGTACAGTCTGTGCCATTGCACAGGGGCCCAAAAGGTCAAGAGGGGCTACAGGGAGTCACACTGGGGGCCAGGATGTTGGAGTGGAGAAGGTCCTCCTTCCTTCACCTGCTCCATTGCTCTTTATGTACACTATCTACAGTCTGTGCCATTGCCCCTACAGCTGAAAGGACAAGAGGGGCTACAGGGAGCCACATTGGGAGCCAGGATGTTAGAATAAAGAAGGTCCTCATTCCTCCTCCATTGCTCTTTATGTACAGTCTGTGCCATTGCACAGGGGCCCAGGAGTCAAGAGGGGCTATAGGGAGCCAATTGGGGGCCAGGATGCTAGAGTGGAGAAGGTCCTCCTTCCGGCATCTGCGCCATTGCTAGCCCACACATCAGCTATAAGTACAGTGTTCTTTGATACTGTTCTATATGCCAGGGGCACCACGCATGACCACATCGTTTATTTGGTGCTTCTGCCATTCAGAACGGTGTACAGGAAAACAGAATTTGCATCTCCTATTGAAATTACATTTCATAAAGTAGCCAGGTGCAGTCAAAGCAAGTCACATGTGCGCCCAGCATGCCTCACTTCAAGTAGAATTGAGATAGCTGGAAGCAGCCAATCACCATTCACTTTACTAAAGCCAGACCAGTAATGAGAGACCCTGATTGGTCCATGTGGGCATTGAGCTTGGGTGGGCATTAAGCTTGGATGGATATTGAGCTTGGGTGGGCATTAGACTTGGGTGGGTATTGAGCATGGGTGGGTATTGAGCTTGGGTGGGTATTGAGCTTGGGTGGGTATTGAGCTTGGGTGGATATTGAGCTTGGGTGAGTATTGAGCTCGGTGCCCTTGCTCCTTGCACATTTTTACTGTATAAGCCTAAACGTGTGGATACAGTCACATAGAGAGTCCCACTGCACTCCTGACCGAGAAGCCCCATATATTGTGGTGGTGGCCCGGGGTGCTGAAGTGGCCGCGTATGGCGCCGCCAAATACTTGCAAAACCGAATAAATGGTCACCAGCACTCCAAGCTTTCTTCAAAACGAAATCCTTTGATTCATTCTAGCGCAGGCCATATCACCATGCGTGGCACACGGGGCACGCATGAATAAAAGGATTTCGCCTCCATATCACCTGCTGCAATGAATAAAAGGATTTCGCTTTGTAGAAAGCTTGGAGTGCTGGTGACCATTTATTCTGTTATAGAAGTGTGGAGAGACCCTTCTTAACACTACACCGATTACGAATATCCACATGACTATAGAGAAATCCTGGAAGGTATTACTCATGGTGCCACCACCAGCCCCGTCTTCTGGTTGTCTGTGATCACAGCTTAAATAATGGGATTTTCTACAAGGACAATTCCCCCCCTCCCCCCCCCTTGCCTGCTGACAGCAGAGGGGAAAACCATGAGCTGGGACTGGTCATGTAGCCATCTGAGCAGGCACAAGAAAATACTGCAAACCCGGAGAAGAGGAAGTCTGTATGAGGAAGTGAGAGTGTATGAGCAAGCATGTCTGAGTTGGGAAATAAGCCCAGGACATGTCAGAACTTGCATTCTTATACATTAGGGGTCTTTGTCGGTCAATACAACACGCTGCCTACCGGCCTTATATCATTTATAGTCACACAAGAGTATCATTTGCACTTGGATGTCATTATAACGGCCATTGTGAAAAGAAAATACCGGTCTAAAAATGAAGGAAATGCTTTGGGCTGTTAAAATATAACAATGCTAAAATGCTTACGGCTGATACAATGTATACTCGGTTACCTAGGAAGAAGGAAAGTACTGTGAGGTCATCTATATAGAGACAACTGGCTACATACTGCTGTTCACCAATAGCAGAGGTGGGATAGGACAGAGGACCAGCTTGTGAAATGTAACGAGGGTAGTATAACAGATGTGATCGGACCATACGAGGAGTAGAGGTTCCTTTTATAAAAGTATCAATTACACAAATTTGAGTTTCTATAAGTGTCGGTCTAATCATGCCAGTAGACAAACACATTGATCCTGTATAGGTGAGCTCCATGATCCAAATCCATACTTACCTTGTTGATGGCATCGGCATGATCTCCTCCGCTTAACTCCTCTGCTTATAATAACCCGATGCCATCCAAAAGGTTTTTTTGTTGTTGTTGTTTTTAGATAGAGTGGGTAAGTTACCCTTGCGGGCAGTCCTGGATTTACTCTCTCTGCTTCTCTGCTTCCCCAAGGCCAGGTTCCTCACTGCGCCTTCCTA